AGGCGTCTGGCCATAGCCGACTAAATAACATCACTCTTAACATGCACTCCAGGCAAGGCTTTGGTTGGATAAACAACGCTGCAGTCACACCCTGGCAAGAAGGAAGACAGATTCTTATTTAAGGTATGCAAATAGCTATGTTGCCATACAAAGTATATATATATATACACACATATACATATTTATATACACATATATGTATTTCAATTCAATAAATAGATTCAATAACAGTTTTTGAATCCTGAAGTGGTCAGGCAGAGAGAATAAGATGTCATTTATAAATATGTTATTTCTGTTTACAAAATCGGAGTCAATTTACATTGCCACAATGTGTAAAAAGCCAGTGAGGAACAACAAAAGGCTTCTCTACTTATCCAGAAAATAGAACATTAAAACAATGCCAGCAGTATTCGAAACGAAAACTATTATCACGGCTCATCAATTCACTTAATCCTCTAATTAGTTCTTATTTAGTAGTGTCATGAACCCATCTTCTCCATTAGATGTCTGAAAATTTTGACTCAGTCCATTGGTATGGTGTCAGAGTTCTTTAAATGATGCCCTCAGAAACCTGTACCCAAAAGTGTCTGGCATATAATCCTTTTCTGTGGGGCTCTGAACAGTTGTTCTTTCTGGGAGATGAAACATTATGGCTTGTACTTATTGCAAAGAAAAAATAATTTCAGGAAAGTATTAAAGTAAAATGTTCTAACAAAAAGATCTCTGTAGATGCTAAAAGACTTAAAACAGATTTGGTTTATTACTGATAATTTTCAAAAGTGAAAGAACTGATGAAAGTTAAAACAAGCATAATGTACCAGATGAGAAAATTTGCAAAAAAAAAAAAATGAGTGAAGTTAATTCAAAAGAGTTTTAGCCAAATGATCTGCAAACATAATCATTAAGCCTATTTTCAGGCTGGTGGAGTGGCTCAAGAGGTAGAGCAACTGCCTAACAAGGATGAAACCTTGAGTTCAAACCCCAGCACCACCAAAAAGAAAAGATTTTTCAAGAAATACACAAACAGAGGCTGGGACCAGATGGCAGATTAGAAACATCTTCCTTTTGGTGAGATGCTTTGGTGAGATATGAGTGAGAGGAGCCAGGGTAACAAAGGAGAGACTATATTTCAAAGAGAGAAAGAGAGGAAGAGTACCGGCAATCATGAAAGAAGGGACAGGACAGCTGAAAAGCATAAAGAAGCAGAGGAGACAGAAGAAAGGACAAAACAGTCTCAAGTTCCATCCCTGGATTCCTCAGGGGAAGCAGAAGCCAAAGATGAAATCACAAGGCAAGCCAGACCTCCCTGGTGCCAGACTGACAATGCTAGCTGTGGGATAAGCCTCCTGCAAGCTTTAAACCATTATGGCAATTTGGTGAGACAGTGACTGTTTCTGTGTGGAAGGCTTGCTTCAGTGAAGGAAGACATTTTGTTGCTTCCCTTATTTTGAAGAGCTACAGTAAGATGCCATCTTGAGAGGAGCCTATTGAGACTGAGCTGCTCTGGGGACTTGAAAACAAGGAATAATCACAGGTCATGGAGTCTTGGGATACCCTGCTGCATTGTCTGGATGGAAGGTGGCCATACTAGGTGGTCATGGAGAGGGTCTGATGTAGGCCTTCTGAGTTAAATTAGAAGGGAACTTGAGCAGTGAAGGCTTAGTGATTGGAGACCCCACCCTCCTTGGTGAGGAGTGAGTCCCAGCACCCAAGGGGCATAGGGGAAGCCAGCAGTGAGCCCATGGCTGTCATAGATTGGCCTCTAGGTCCTGCCTCCTGGCTATGCGTGTTGCCTGCCATATGGGTCTGGAAACGTCAAGCCAGCCCTCCAAATCATGTGATTTCCACAGCCTCCTGCCCAATAAGAACATGAATGCTGGGCAGGGTCTGAAAGCACCAAGCCAAGCAGGCAGAGTGCCGGGTCCCTCAGTTTTCCTCCAGCCAGTGCAGAACTTAGTGCTGTTTGCTAACCCACACTAGAATGCATTTGGGATTACCCAAGGCTTGGGTGCTTGCTGCCCCTGGGAGAAACAAACTTCAGTGTGTGTCTGTGTGTGGTGGTGGGGGGTTAGAGGGAAAATGGGAACCTGCCTGGCCCATAGGCTAGAAAGCTCCCTATGGCCAACACTGTCTCTCAGTACCTATAGAAAAGAAATTTCTTTAATGTGAGTAGCCCAGAAGTGGACAACTAACCCCTGTACAAGAGACTCCAGCTAGTTTTTCTCAACCTGAGGAGTGCTGGGGATTAGGCCTGGTGCCCTGAGCATGTGGGTGAATGCTTGGCTACTGAGTTCAGTGAGGAGAAATAGCACCTCAACTCAGCCAGTGTCCTGCCTGAATTGTGAGACTATTTCACCAGAAAGACCTCAGGTGATTAAAACTTACAACCAATGACTTGGCTCCAGGTACACAAATCCCAATGCAGAAACACAAGAAATATGAAAAAACAAGGCACCATGACTCCTCCAAAACTGAACTCCACAGTAACAAACACTAATAGTGAAGTGGGTGAAATTTCAGATGAAGACTTTAAAAAATGATTAAAAGAATGATCAATGAAACTAAGGAGGATATGAATAAATACATGAATGAATTCCAAGAGAACACAAACAGCTGAATGAAATAAAGAAGATAAGGCAGGGCATGAAGGAAGAATTCAATAAAGATATACAAATTCTGGAAAAAAATTAAATTGAAATTTTTGACATGAAAAGCTCAATAAGTCAAACTCAGTTGAGGCCAGGCATGGTGGCTCACACCTATAATCCCAGCTGCTTGGGAGGTGGAGACAAGAGAATAATGGTTTGAGGCTATTTTAGGCAAAACATGTTAGTGAGACCTTATCTCAAAGAATAAGCTGGGTGTGGTAGTACATGGCCATAATCCCAGCTATGCAGGAGGCAGAGGTAGAATTGCAGGCTGAGGTCAGCCTGGACAAAAGTGTAAGACAGGCCCTATCTGAAAAATAACTAAAGTGAAAAGGGTGTGGCTCAAGTGGTAGAGCACTTGTCTAGCAAGCAAAAGGCCCTGAATTCATTTCCCAGAACCACAACAAAAACAAAAACAAAAACAAAAACAAAAAATCTCCAGTTGAAAGTCTCTCCAGTAAAGTAGATTAAATTGAAGACAGAATATCTGGGCTTGAAGACAAGGTAGATGTATTATGACATTCATACGAAAGAAAAAAATTAAAGAGCTATGAACAGAACATGCAAGATCTCTGGGCACCATTAAAAGCCCAGACTTACAAATCATGGGCATAGAAGAAGAGGTGCAAGCTAAGGCATAAAACACATAGAGTAATATTAGAAAACTCAGTCTTGAGAAAGAGATAGTCATCCAGATACAGCAGGTTTTTAGGACTCCAAACACACAAGACCAGGAAAGAACTTCTCCAATGTTTATAGTTAAAACAATGGGCATCCAGAACAAGGAAAGAATATTGAAAGCTGCAACGGAGAAGCACCACGTCACCTGTAAAGGCAAACCCATCAGAATAACAGCAGACTTCTCAACAGAAACGTTAAAGGCAAGAAGTGCATGGAATGATGTATTTCAATTCCCCAAAGAAAATACTGGCAAACTAGATTACTGTATCCAGCAAAGCTCTCCTCCACAATTGAAGGAGAAATAAAAACCTTCCATGATAAACAAAAACTAAAGGAGTTCATGACCACTTAATCAGCACTGCAGAAAATTCATACACAGAAGAGGAAGACAAACACAACCAGGAACATAGAAGAAAGACTACATCTCACTAGACAAGCAGCCGAGGAGTAGGGAAGAATCAAACACTACAAAACAAAATACCTTCCGATGAAATTCTGAATGTTAATGGCCTAAATTCTCCAATCAAAAGACACAGACTGGCAGATTGAATTAAAAAAATAAGACTTCAAGTATCATTTGTTGCCTACAAGAAATGCACCTCACTGGCAAAGACAAACATAAGCTTAAAGTGAAAGGGTACAAGAAGATTTTCCAACCAAATGGAGCCCCAAAACAAGCAAGAGTAGCTAAACTCATCTCTGATAAAGCAGACTTCAAACCAAAATTAATCAGAAGAGACAAAGAAGGTCACTTCATCTTGGTAAAGGGAACATGTATCAGGAGGAGATAACAATTGTAAACACATATGCACCACACATCAGCACACACAATTTCGTGAAACAAACACTACTGAGCATAAAAGCACTGACAGATCTCAACACAGTGATAGTGGATGCCTTCACTACCTCACTGTCACCAATATTGGGACAAATATTTAATATTTCAAGTATTTAATATTGATTATCATAGGAGGTGGGAATGGAGTATATGTATGGGTTAATTTGTTCCCACAAGCTTAAAGGGTGTTGGTCATAAAAATAACCTGATGTTTTAAAAGGCTGGGGACCATTACATAAGTAAAAAAAGCATCAGGTGTTTGTGTGTGTGTGTGTGTGTGTGTGTGTGTGTGTTGTAGGGGGAGGGGAGATGTGTAGACCCAGCTCTGCCCTTGCTTGTATTGTGAGTTTTCTGCCTTTATGATCTTGTCACTACAGTGGGGTGATAGTGACTGTCCTGCCTATGTAGGCCTCAGGGTTACTGTGAATAAAATGAAGGAGGAAGACAAATGTAATTTGAATAGTTAAAAGACATCAAAATGCAAGGTGTTATCTTCAAGAAACTCATGTTTTCTCTCATATGTGGAATATATAACAATATTATGAAAAACAGGTCATGCTAAAGGGAGGTCACAGAGGAGAGAGGGAGGGTAAAAGAAGGAGGTTAAGAAGGTGGATATGGTTGATGTGCTTTCTCTACAAGAATGAATATAGAATTTTTAAACCTTTTGAAATCACCATAAGAAGGGGACTGTGGAAGAAAGGAAAAAAATAGAGGGGTTGAACCAATTCAGGTTATAGTACATACATACATGGAAATGTCACAAGGAAACCAATATATAGCTATCTTAAACAAACAAAACAAATCAAATATTTTCAATTTATATGATGTAGGTGACAAAGTCGCTGGAGGAAGCAGCTTCCCTTCCCAATGGCGATGTAGCAGGGGAGTCAGAGAGTACTGCGGAGGTAAGGGCTAGCATTGCAAACCACCCTTCCCCATGCCAGTGTCTTCATGGTGGCTACCTGGGCCTAATCTGTCTGTCTGTCGCCTACCTACCTTCTGTCTGCCTTATTTACCTGTTTCTGTCCATCTCTGCATCCATCACCTTCATAACCCTTAAGTGGGTGAATGGAGACTCCCCACCCAGGCAGTTTGTCACTGCAGTTTTGTGGTTTGGGGAGCCTATGCTGGGACAACTCAGTGACCTCACCAACACGAGGTCTGTTGGGTTGAATTCATGTCATGATCTGAACAAGGTGGTCACAGCAGGTGTGGCGTGGATGTCCCTTGGGAGTTTACCTAAGGTTGATGACACCTGGCTTTCTATTCTGACCAGGGAACAGAGAAGACTGAAGAAAGTGGAGAAAATGAGGCACAGAAAGAAGACAAGGAGGACATGGGCAACCTCCCTGAAAACCCGGAGAAGAACGTGAGTGTTGGCGTTTCTCACTGTAGCTTCGTTGGATTCAGGTCTGTTTTTCACTTACTGGGCTCCTGCCAGGTGACAAGAATTGGGCGGCATTCTGGGTATATACCAAGGAGGAAGAAGGGTAGAAGCTGAGAGTTTAGCCAGGAGGAAGAAGGTGACTTTCCTTAACTGCTGTTGTTGGTAACTGCTGTGGACTATGCAGAGAGAGCTAACTGGAGGCCAGTGGGAGGACCCTGAACCCAAGCCTGGAGGGAACCAGCTAGACAGGCTTCAATGATTGTTTGCTGGGTTGTTAGGGGTAGGCTAGGCTCATGTTCTCCATCAAACTAGGGTCCTCTTGGTCTTGAATAATACCGCACAAGGGGGTGGAAGTGTATTTGTGGGGCACCAACAAGAACTTGAGGATAAAAGGGTGCCTGGGGGAGGAACCCGACTCTAAATTCAACCCCAGTCAGGGGACTACAGATCCCTACTAGTCCCAGGGAGAGGGTTGAATCCTGAAGAGGTTCCTAGTCTGGGGAACAGACTGATGAGTGGGGAAGGAAGAGGGAAACTTGTTCTCTAAGCGCCAGGTGGGACTTGGGGCTGAATGAGCCACTCACTGAAGGACTTCCGGGAATGTGGCTGGGAAGCCAGGCTGGAGGAGGCCTTGGCTGCACAGGGAGACCAGTGGGGCTGAAGTGGGGAGCCTACCTGTAGGAGAGTTTCAATGGGAACATCATGACAACTTTATAAATTGCTGGAAATGTTGCAGTTTGTTTATATTTGTATTTGGCTTTTATCAGGGTAAAGTTTTTTACTAAAGAATTTTAGTAAAAGGTAAAATTATTTCAAGTTGGGTTCTGTGCTAACCTAACAGTCTTATCTGCAAATCTTTAAGCCCTTGGCTTGATTGACTATGTGATTATGGTACCTCCCCCACTTTGGCCTCCTCCAAAACCAGTCCCCACAAAAGCTCCTTTCTCCAAGGCAAATGTTGTTATGGGTGGCAAGGAGCTCCCACATTTAAGGCCAGACCCTCAGAGGGCCTGAGATTGGCCTGTCTCCAGGCCGGCCGCCTTCTCAGGTCACACTGGTGGCTCTTGCTCCCTCCTCTGTCTACTGCCTGACACTCACCACCACTGACACCTGTCCTTGGTTCTGGCCATATGCCACATCAGCAGCCTGCACCCCTGGTCAAGCTCCCAACAAAAATAGCTTCTGTGGAAGGTCCTCAGCCTTCCCACTTCCTGGCCTCTCTCTGGCTCCTAGCTTCCTCGGAACAGCATGGTGGGACCACTTAAAATTGTTCGTTTCTTCGCTGTGTTCTATAATCCTGTGAGAGCTTGGCTTAATTGACCAGGTGGCTACAATTATTTTTAAAAAGCTATTTTCAGTACAATTATTTGCTAACCATAAAAGTCAGTTCAAGCTTTGTACATAGAGGGATTTTTAAGGACTGGCGTAATTCTGACATTGTGTGATTCTGGGAGCTAAGGTTGGAAGCTTGTTATTTTATTCTTTAGTTAATATACCCCACCACATCCCAAGAAGGATTAGAGGCAGATGGCGCTTTTCATAAATGCATTTATTCAACATTTTATCAGCACATTGTTCCACGTGCCTGGCAAAGCTCAGTGACTGGGGAGCACACAGTCGGGAGGGAGAGTCCCGCTCCTGGAGCTGGTGTTCAGGTGGAGCTTGCGACCGCAGTACCTATTCTTTTAGGGTCACTTGACCTGTTGAGGCCATTTGTTAAATTCTCTGAGCAATTACTTTCTCCATTTCAAGAAATTCAAATGCCAATAAAGGTCAATTCAAACACTGTTAAAGAGGCTAGGTCCCTCCTAATTGCTGTTAGTTAACCCATAAAAGTTGAGACTACCAGCCATTCCTATAAAACCCCTACTGCCCTCTGGAGTAATGCTAGTAAGCTGGATACAGTTAATGAAAATAATTGCATTTAGGAAAATGTAAAACTCTATGTTACATACAGCAAATTTTAATCTGGTCCCATGTAGATAAGAAAATTCATGTTCTTTGAGAGCCAAAGAGTTACTAGTAGCCTTTATGCTCTCCTGCCAAGTGATTTACTGAGCTGACGCCTTTATTTTTTTGGTGGTACTGGGATTTGAACTCAGAGCTTCATTCTTGCTAGGCAGGAGGAGCTTTACCATTTGAGCCACTCCACCAGCCCATGAGTTGGCTTCTTGATTCCAGGCAGTGGCTTTGTCCTGGAAATCCCCAAGGAGTGAGCAGACAGGTTATGGTGACAGACATGATGATTGTTGGAGCAGATCAGAGGGTCCCCTAAGTCAGTCTTAGAGGTTAGGGAAGTCTTCCTTGTGAACATTGTTTTGAACAGTGTCCTGGAAGGGCAGCTGATGAGAAAAAATGCATGTGATTCTATATGGCTGAAATAGAGTGGGAAGGGATGAAGCCAGAGGTACAGGTGGGGGCCAGGTGGCTTTTTGCCAGTTAAGGAGCCTAGATTTATCCTGAGATGAAAGTTTGCAAACACAACAGTAGCACAGTAAGGCTTATTGTCTGTAGCCACATCTCTGGCTACACTGTGGAGACTGGAAATGAGGATGTCTGGGGGATGGTGACCACATGGTGACTCCTTTCAGCAAGTCAGGTGAGCAAAGTTGGCAGCTGTGCCAGGAGGGACAGGACACAGGCAGGGCAATATTAAAGAAGTGCAACCCACAGGACACTGAAAAGTGAGACCTGGATCTGCAACAGGTGTAAACAGGTCTGTTCTTCCTGGACGTTACTTTTGCACGAACACTTGGTGTGTCCCAGTGGTGTTTAACATCAAGATTAGCTGGAGGTTCCCAGGCTGGGAAATCTTCCTGGTGTGGCTCTGACTTGGCCAGCTCTGTCAGGCATTCACGCTCTGTGCCAGTTCCTGAGATCTGAAGCCATTGCTCTGGAACCGGCCTGAAACGTGAGGCTGGGCCAGGGGATGTAGACGTGTGCTGGATTCTCTATTACTCACCCTCCATGACTGTGGTTCTTTCTGTTACTAATCCTGAGAGACAGCCTGGTAGAGAAGGAAGGACACAGAATTAGTAGCCAGGAGACTTGGGGAGAGTCGCTATTGTGCTGTTTACTTGCTCTGTGACCTTTGGCAAATCACTCAACTCTGGTCTGCGTGTCCTTGTCTGTCCAAAGAAGGGACTGGTGAGAGGATACATATGGCAGCACGACTGCTTCCCACCCCAGTCTAGGATCCCATGAGTACACTGCCTGAGCTGCAAGGTGGTGGGGTTTTCTAGGACGACGTAAGAAGCTGTCTCTCCTTCAGCCATGGGAGTGCTCTGGCCCCAGGGAGGTCATCATAGGCCCATGCTGGAAAGCAATGGAAAAGCTCTTATTTCCTTCTCACAGCTGCATTTTAGAGATGTCAGCTGGCTTTATTACCTTGATCTGGGGGAACCGGGATTCCAGGTGGGTGGCAGGGGACCTGTACGAATCTGTGATGACCCCACCCTCCCTTACCCTGAAGGCTTCTTTTTACCCAGAAATCTGTGGTTAAATACTGCATGGTTCAGAAATGCTGTCATTTTGTTCTGATAGAGAGAAAGGTTTTGGTCTGTTGTATTAATTGGTTCAAAGCTGAAGTAAAGCATACATACAGAGACATTTTTTTGCTTGCATATATGATCCTAGTTTTACCAGATAGCTCTACAGATCTTTGGTGTGCTTGAACTAGACATACGATTAAGTGATATTACTAGTGGATTACGTTTTATAAGGACTGTGGGTGATAGGAAAATATTTGTAAGCTCATAATCTCCCAAATGCTTGGAATATAATGCACAAAATAAGAAGTGGTCACTGTTACTATAGCTTTACCGTTCACATAGTTTCTGGACAGATTAAAGTGTTTATTCTAATGCGCTTCTGTCTTATTACAGTTTGCTTAATTTTCAGCTACAAGTTAAAACTTACTTGAATTTATGTTTTTCTTTATGGACCTAAGGAAGAAGAGGGAGAGCGAGCAGTGGAAGAGGTATGGTGGTCTGTCATCTTTCACAGTTGTGCTTAATCTGCTTAGTGAAAATGTCTTCTAGGTGACCGCATGGCAGCTTTAGCCATGTCCCTGGTTCTTTGTGAAATGAGGGAGCCAGCACACCCCATGCACCCTGAAAACCCTCCTGTAGCCTCCAAGAAGGGAATTCTGTTGGAGAGAAATTTGGGTGGGGGATCTGGATAGAGAAGCAGGCTTGGCTGTGGGTATTCCTGTGTCTCCCATAAAAAGAGGACTTGTGCGTTTCTTTCCCAAAGTCAGGCCTGGCCAGGCCAGGGCTATAGATGGAGATTCTTTCTCCTCTGGTCCTTCCCACCCCACTATAGCACACAGTACCTGCAGCCCACACGGTACGTCATGGTGATGTTCTGATGGCTTCCTAGTCACCTGCTGATGAGGGAGGGATTCCTGTCTTACGGTTATGGGGCTGGAGTCACAACACCTGACGCTCATTAGTTATGCACACTCACCACCTAGGGGAGAGGACTTCCAGGCAACTCAGGGTCACGCGTTGGGAACAGTGTACACGAGCAAGGGAGGGTCCGGTCCTGGTGTTGCTTGGAAGCCACCCATTCCCAGGGGTTCTTGTGGGATCTTTCCAGGAGAACATGAGTGGTTGGGAAGGACTAGTAACCTGCCTCCCCAATGTGGCTCAAGTGGTAGAACACCTGCCTAGCAAGTGCAAGGCCCTGAGTTCAAACGCCAGTGCTGCTAAAATATAACAAAAAACCCCCAGTGCTTCTCGTCTGCTGGCGTGCATCAGAATCACCTCTGGTGGTTTTTAGATTTTTCCAGAAGCCTGGTGTAGTATTCTGTTTTGCCTTACTGTGATACAGGCTAACTTGCAAAGAAAAAAGTTTATTTAGTTCACAGCTTTGGAGGCTAAAACCCTACAGTTTGGTGAGGGCCTCCACTGGCTGTGTCACCAATTGCTGGTGGCAGAGGTGGGACACAGGAGGGAGAAAGAGCTCACATTTGCCTGGCAGAAGCTAGAGAGCCGGACCCCACAATCCCTTCTGAAGGCACTCCCTAATGACCCTCAGGACCTCCCACTTCATCCAGGCCCCACCTCCCAGCACTGCCACACAGAGGACCAAGTTTATGACACATGAACCTTTGGGGGTAAACAATGTCTCTTTCTGTGGGTGAATAAGAGCCCAGAGGTGTGGCCCTGGTGAAGCTGCAGACTTCCCTATGTACCTGAGCTCCAGAGCTGTCACTTTAGGAAGCCCCCGCCAGGGATGGGAGATCACATAGAGACAAGTGCCACCCACTCCCTACGTGTGACACAGCCTTCCTCTCCGCTCTTCTTCCTGTCAACAACAAGGAAAATAAATGTCCCAAAGGAGAATTAAAACTCAGAAGTAAAACAACAGATTCAATAAGATAAAAGAATTTAAGAAAGAAATATCTTACAGTGGATAAAGATAGAATTAGAACAACTCGAACACAAAAGAATAAAGTTTCACAAAGATAGACGATTAAGAATTATATAAAATAAGGAGAAAGTATTATAATTTGGGAGTACTGAGTTATGTATTTAATGTACAATTAAAACTAAAACTGAAATGAGTATATATTAATACTATTTAGTATTAAAAAGCTATGAAGCAGCCAGGCACTATTGGCTCACGCCTGTAATCCTAGCTACTTGGGAGGCTGAGATTGGGAGGATCATGTTTCGTGGCCAGCCTGAGCCAATAGTTTGCAAGACCCATCTCCAAAATAATCAGAGCAAAATGAACTGGAGGTGTGGCTCAAATGGTATAGCACTTGCTTTGCAATAGCAAAGCCCTGAGTTCAAATTCCAGTATTGCCAAAAAAAAGCTACTAAGGGTAAAATTTAGAAAAATGAAACTTATCCTCTGTAGCATGTAATTTAATGTGCCTCTTTATAGAGTCTGTGCTTGCACTATAACCAGCACTCTCGGGTGCAGTGGAAGACCTCATGTTCCGTGTTTGGAGCTGGAGGTTGTTTGACCAATTGAAGAATAATGTCTTAAAAACACAGAGGCATTAAACACTTTTTTTCCTTTCGTGATGCTGGGGATTGATCCCAGGGCCTTCAGCATGCTAGGCAAATGCTGCACGGTTCAGCCATATTCCTACCCTTAACATTTATTTTAACTTGAAATACATAAATGGTTATTGACTGCCATTTTTTTTAGCTATTAGAACAGGGACTTTTTTCCCCCTCTAATCAGAGTACAAATATTAGTAAGCCTGGTTGGTTTTCTAACGCAACCATACTCATTTGCCTGTCTAGAAGTTCCAGTTTTGGTTTTTTAGAGCAGAGATTTAAAGACACCTGGAGCCACCTGAGTGTGTAAGGACTTTATGAATTCTCCTCCTTATCCCAAGCTTTTAAACACCTCATTTATGATAACAAAATTTTAAGGTGATTTACATATATTGCATCTTTCTGATGCATTCTATTAAGTCTCCATAGGAAAAAAGTTCTCGCCCTGCTTGTATTTCATTCACTTTCCTGATGTGTCTTTCAATTATGTAATCACGAGGCTATAAATGTCACACACGCATGGCAGCAGACGTGACCAGGGCTGGTGACCGCGGACTCCATGGATGGTGGTGCCGCACCTACCGGTTGTGAGCGCTGAGTGCGCTGCTCACCGGTCAGTCAGTGTGATCTCAGAGAGGTTCTCCAGGTGGTGTCCCAGGTCAGCAGCAGCACCTCCCACCCAGAGACCTCCAGAAACAGTAGTTCTCCCTTCTCCATGATTTCATGTCCCATGGCCCACTGCAGTCCAAAAATACCAAATGGCATCTGGGCATGTGAGGTGTGTGTGGTGTGTGTGGTGTGTGTGGTGTGATGTGTGTGTGTGTGGTGTGTGTGGTGTGATGTGTGTGTGTGTGGTGTGTGTGTGTGGTATGTGTGTGTGTGTGTGTGGTGTGTGTGTGTGTGTGTGGTGTGTGTGTGGTGTGTGGTGTGTGTGTGGTGTGTGGTGTGTGTGTGGTGTGTGTGTGGTGTGTGTGGTGTGTGTGTGGTGTGTGTGTGTGGTGTGTGTGTGGTGTGTGTGTGGTGTGTGTGGTGTGTGTGTGCGTGCGCCATGTTGCTGGGGACCCTCAGCTCTAGGTTGTGATTTCATGTTCCCTTTCTCGTGGCGTCTTTGTCCCTTGCCTTTCTCCATAATAACTTTTGTGTTTTGTGACCACAGAGGGAAGAAGTGGCAGTGGAGGGAGCCGAAGGGGAGGCCAAGGCCGAAGAGGGCGTGGAAGAGGAAGGAGGAGACTCTTAGGTGGTTCTGGGCTTTCCCAGGTAGCTGCAGCGCTGGGAGGGCAATGGCCCGAGGCCAAGCTGCCTCTACTGGGCACGGGTGGCAGGCCGAGACAGGTGCGCCTGACCCGGGGGGATGGCAAACCTCCAGCCTGCAGCCTCCTTAACGACGGTGGCAGGGAGTCATGCTTAGAAACCACACTGTTCAGGCCTAAGTGCCAGATATTGCGTTTCTTTTCTTAAACATTGGCTGGAACGCTCACGGACACACTTGGGAATGTGGCAAAGTGCAAGGAACCCCCAACAAGCCTTGGCACCTTGTCGTTTTAAACTTCTTAACAGCTGGGTCGGTGCCAAGTGATCGCACGCAGCTAAGGACAGTGTGCGGTGATGACGGCTGAAGGATTTGGGAAGGTGGGCCGCAAGACAAGACAGTGTTGGGGTGAAAGCAGAGGTTTCACCAGACGTGTGGCGAGCTCCCAGGAAAAGGGTGCATGACGCGTTTCTGTTTTTATTTTTTGGGGGGTCGCTGGGGTTTGAACTTAGTACCTTGCACTTGGGCGTGTTATGTATTCTCAAATGATTGATGTTATGACTGAATTTGAGGCAGTGGACTAGGCTGCTTGCTTATAGTTTTGCTGTGGTGCTGTGAGGGGTTTTAAAAAATTTAAGTGGAATCCTGTGGATGTCTTTCCTGCACCCAACAACGTGAAGGGTTTCTGGGCCATTGCTGTCAGAAGGCAACAGGGAGGAACAGGCACTCGAGCACGCAGTAGGTCTTCAGCTCAGACATGTGCTGAAGCTTGATGCATGGAAGGGTTCATTTAGAGATGGAAGAAAAACTGCCCGAGTGCTGTGAGAACTGCTGACCAATGGCAGTGCTCTGTGTACCCAGGACCAGTCTTAATAATACAGACCTCCCTTTTCAATATGCACACAAGTAAAAAGCTAATTTCAAACACGCCGAATGTATTTAGTGTATTTGGAGCTGGTGAGAGTAACTGTCACTGTTTATTATTGCACCATAAAATTTTATCCTTCATGTACATTTCAGAGTGAATCTGGCTTGGGGTTTGATACTTTTCCCAGCCAATTTCTTCCATGTGCTGGACACACAGACCTTTAGCTTAAGGTTTACTGATTGTACTTTTGGTCACGATTACAGTTTTAAGCAATGTCTTGGGACTCTTTTGAGAAAAAGAGGACTGGCAAGTTTAGGAGATTCTACTTGAAGAAGAGTAGGAAATGCAAAAGGACTGATATTTATCTTTATGCCAGAAACAAAAGAAACCATAAAGGATCCGCAATAAAAGACTCGGAAGTCTATTCACTCTGCTTGCAAAGTCCCTAAAATCATGTGATTTTAGTGTGATAATTCTAAAAAATACTGAATGTGGAATGGCACAGCCCAGAGAGATTCCTTAGTGTAGACAAGTGGCTTTATTGGCCATTTACAAAAAAGTAACATTTCACTGTGGCTAGCACATTTTGCCTATTTCTCTGATGGGTTCTAGGTTGGAATCCTGTCCATAATAGTCTATTGTGGTGTCAGAATACCTGAAAGTGAAGGTGTGCACCAGACGACACCCTAAATTTTATCCCTGACCCCCACACAGATTCAGTTTCCTTCTTTAAAAGGCAACATGCCCTAGCTGGGTGCTCCTGTAATCCGAGCTACTTGGAAGGCAAAGATTGGGAGGATGGGAAATTCACACAGTTTGAAGTCACTGTGAGGGGGAGGAGGGAAAGCAAGACCAGAGCAGAAAGGGCAGGAGAGTGCCTGCCTAGCAAGGGCACAGCCCTGAATTCAAATCCTAGTACCACCATAAAAAAAAAAACAACAAAAAAGCCCACAAGTAACATGCTAGTGTGACCAGGTGTTCTGCAAACTGTTCACAGCTTGAGGATAGTCAGGCATTCTATCTGACAAGATAATTTTAAGGAGAAGGATGACAGAGCAAGACTAAGAAAGAAAGAAAGAATTCTCTTTTCTCATACTTGGAGCTGGAGGTAGAATCTGGGTTGATGCTGGGGTCTCAGGAGAAATAGTGTACAAGGTGAGACAGACTTCTCCCTCCCCGAAGGAGGTAGAAAGGCTTAGCCATGGACCGCTGACATTCCCCCCTCTGGGATTCAGCTGGAAACTCATCCTCTGATTTCTGTGAAGTGCTTCCTTCTGTTGTTGGCCTGTGTTAGCACAGAGAAAGGGTTTTCCCATGAGAAAAACTTACTTTTCTTTCCTTGCACTGGGAATGGAACAGTAGGTAATGGTTTATCAGGCCTTATTTCCCTTTGCTGTATGTTCACTAATGAAGATTGTGATAAAACTCCTTGTCTCTCTCTCTTTAACCATCTTGCTATAACATTTCCCCTTTCTTTTAGAAAACCAAAGCCCACGAAGCAGCATTTCAAAAGTCTCCCCACAAATGTAACCAAATATTTTGGCCCAAAGCATGCACACCTCTCTCAGTACATCCGGGACTCCCGAGGACTCGTGCTGTCTGGCGAGGTTAGATACACAAGAACGTCTTCTCAGTCACATTTGCAGGAGGTTAAATGTGAAGACCGTCTGCCTACCTTCATGTGCCCAACGTTCTTGGCCTCTGCTCGTTAGCACTATTCGCTCTGCACAAATAGACCTTCTTGGTAATACTCTGAAAGAAAGATTGAAAGGAATAGAGCCTCTCCGGTACAAAAGAATTTCTTTGTATGTGCCTTTTGCTTCCTGTCATTGACTTAACTTTGAAAGGAGGTGCTTTCCAGAGAACAGCCATAGAAATAAAGATTCATAGCAAATACTTCATCCGTGTTTCTTTATTCATTGTCTCTGTGTGCAGGTGCCTGAGCTCAGTGTGTCTGCGGTGAGTGTAAGTCCCTTCTGCCTTGGGGTGGACAGTCTTGGTGGCAGTGATTATTTGGTCCATGTTTTCAGGGTGCCTCAATTGTCTTTTTATGTCATATTTTGTGCTATCCAAATGGCTGTCTTTGGAGCTGAGCTCACTGTAGTTCTGTGATCCACACATGTAGGGAGGATGACAAGGACAAAGATGGGCAGCTCACTGCCCTTTGCACATTTCTGAGCATCAGGGAGCAGTTTCTGCTTCAGTTTTTCTGACCACTGATTGATTTGCAGTCATGGCTCATGTGGAACCCAGTGCTGTACTTTTGCCTCCCATGGCCAGGTATGTGTGGTCACCATCGCTGCCAGCCCTCCACCCCGGCCTTGCACTGGGTAGGTTGGACAGCTCCTCTGCCCACCTCAGTTTCCTATAGATATTTCTCTTTCTCGTGAGAGAGATGTTGATGCTTGTGTTTTTCTTGCAGCAAACATCGCTTCTGTCTGGTCAGAAGGGCTCATCTCGTTGTTGTGCTCCTTCCCTGTTTCACGATCATGTAGCAGTTTCCTGTGGGGTGGCCACAGATTTTCCCCTCCCAAGCCTACCTGCAGAGTGGATTGCATGGTGGCAGGAGGCATGGGGTCTCAGGACCCTGGACAGCAGCTCCCTTCTTGGCACCTAGTAACAGACATTTCGAAGGGAATTAAGGTTATTGTGTCCTGAATTGTTGAAGTCACCTTTAAATCCACCTCTCCCTCTGCTGAAAGTAAGGTGAAAGACTACAGTGAAATAGAAAGTCATATAATTAAAAATTCCTATTTTTATTTCGTGGCATTTAATTACATCCTATTTTAAAAGCTTGCTCATTTTTATAAACATCGACGTACAAATAGGCCTTCAGGTGCTTGTTGCTTTGGGCTGCCCTTTTAGGGTGGAGTAGGATGGAGGTAGGGTTAACTAGTGTTCACAGATTGCTAAGTGAGAATGAGTATTTGTGCCAATAATAAGCAAAGGTAACAAACCATACCTGATGTATTCAAATTGAATTAATTTTTCTTATGTTGTTTTCCTGTGAGTCAGCAAACTAACATTCTAGAAGAGTAGTTTTTCTTACACACGTCTCACTTTAAGGTGTCGAAAGGCAGAACCACTAGATGGTAATATCACACGACCAGTGTCAGTTCCCGTCTTGGTTTGGTTTCACTCATCACTACAACCTCCACGGGTAAGTGGATCCACAGTGAGGAAAGTCTCTAGGATATGTGATATCAAAATACAGTTAAAATTACATGCTTTATCTGTTACAGGAAGCTTTTAGAAACTAAGCAGCACTGTGAATATGCAAAACCCCCAGAAAACCCCAAGTGAACAGGCAAAAAAAAAAAAGGAGGAAAGCAAAGTCCAGAGAGATGGAGTATTGTATGTTGATCTGAAGCTGAAGGAGATGTGATGAATTTGTTTAGTTTAATGGAAGTGGAAGCCTTCAAAGTAACTGTTTTGTTTTGTTTTTTGGAAAAGCAACTACACAAAAATTTGCGTGCATTTTTCGTAACCACTGAGTAATACCTGCTTCTTCTTCCGTCCTTCCCTCTGTGCTTCCTCTTCCTTTAGACTGAAATCTTCCTTCAGCTCACGGTCATGATACATGTTAAGGATGGTTTGTTCTCAGTTTTCTTGTTTGAATATAGAGGTATAGGAAGAAAAAGAATGGATCATCTGCAAAGGATCTTGGGGAATCTTTCCAAATGTTTTCTCAAAGTCCTTTAACCTTGGAACCTGTGCAAGCCTGGGAAAAAGGGGAAGTGGCCTGCAGGCACTGCAGTAATAGAGAAAGTCCACTAGGTGGTGACAAAAGACAAGCTTCTTGATTTGGTGTGAGGCCCTCCGAGCCGCCCTCTGTCCTGTGCCCACTGCAGGTACTGCAGGTTGAAATCAGAGGGTGGGTATGAGCTGTTTATCAATCAGACAGGGAAAAGACAAGCAAAACCCGAACCCTCCAGCCAACTGCAATAATCAGTGTGTCGCTTTTGATGATTTATCCAGGAGAATTTGTTTTGGGCAAGACGCAGTGCATTCTTAAAAGCTTTAAAATGAGTAAGGTATTGCTTGGATTCCCTCCCTTCCCTGATGTGGAAGGAGTCTAAACTCAGTCAACAAGTGGCTGCACAGCAATAATTCTGATAAAGATACAGGGTCTTCCTGTGGCTTCTGACTTCTTCTATCTCACCATAGAAGTAGGCACAGAGTTCTGATTACCTAAGGGGCTAATTGTCCTCAAGCCTTTTAGTCCAAATATTTGGAAATATATTCACGATCTTACCCAAGGCATTCTTTTACAGTTGTCTGGGGTACTTGGCTTTTTTAGTACTTCATCTTGGGAGTAGAAAAACCGAGTTGTGAAGTCTTAACTTATAGAAAGAATGGAATACTTGTAAACCCCAAACTCAGAGTTTTACAGGTATGAACTTACCTCACACAGGGTACTTTCATGTTGAGCACACTTAAAATTTACTTTTTGTTTACTTCTTTTCTTACCCAGGAAACCTGCAAAAACATTTATTTATTAAAAAAATGAGATTGTATTACAAGGCTCCTCTGCATTTTGCTTTTTCTCGTCTAATGCATTGTGGAATCACTACAGGTTCATTGGCAAACTTTGAAGCCTTGTGTACAGTGGCTGTGTGATATCCACGGAATGGAGGCACCTTCTTCACCCAACCACTGTCCTGGTGAGACAATGCCCCGTTTCCTGCTCACAGTCTCTCTGCAGCATCAAACACATCCTTGAACTTGCTTCTTGGTACTGTGGGTTGAATCGTGTCTCCTAAAGGGATGCGTTGAACTCCTGACCCCTGGTGCATACGAATATGACCTTATTCGGAAATAGGGTCTTTGCAGATGTAATTATGTTAAATGAAGTCACTGGGGTGGGCTTTAACCCAACATGACTACCAGTTATTTATCTGTCTGGAAATATTATTCTCTGATTTTATTTTTACTTAACCCTAGACATTTTCTCATGTATTTAAATATTCTTCAGCTACACTATATTTAATGTCCTTATGAGTCTATTATTTGCAGGTACCGTAAAATTAAATGATCTCTGAGTGACTGGCAGAGTGACTCAAGTGGTAGAGCACCTGCCCAGCAAGTGTGAACCCTGAATTCAAACCCCAGTACCACCAAAAAAACAACAAAAAAAGTAGTCTTATAAAATGCCGGGTGCCAGTGGCACTGGATGCCTATGCTAGTGGGGAGGCAGAAGGACCAGGAGGATCAAGACGTAAAGCTAGCCTGGGCAAATAGTTCCCAAGACCCCATCTGGAAAATATCCAACACAAAAAAGGGCTGATGGAGTGGCTCAAGCGGTAGAGCACCTGACTAGCAGGTGTGAGGTCCTGAGTTCAAACCCCAGTACTGCTGAGAGAAAAGAAAAAAAACAATCTCTGAGTATTGAGTATTTAGACTGAGGCTTTGAAATTATAATCAGTGTGATAGAAAATGCTCCTATAAAGATGTCTTTGTTTTTTCTTTGTGGCACTGGGGAATGAATCCAGGGCCCTGTGCTTTCTAGGCAAGTGCTCTACCACTTGAGTCACATCCCCTGTCCTTTGTTTTTGAGATAGGGTCTTGCCGACTTTGCCCTGGCTGGCCTCAAATTTACAGTCCTCCTGCCTGTACCTCTCAAGTAGCTGAGATTATAGGCATGTGCTGATATCTTTCTTTACAGTCATGATTAATTCCTTAGGTGGGATTCCCAGGGGCAGACTTACCTGTAAGATCGAAAGGTTTGTAAACTTTGAAGTAACAGTTTACTTTCACTATTCTTTTAATTCAGTTTTTAATTCAAGTGAAAAAATATATATTTCTTTAATTACTAAGGAGTTTGACCACTTTTATTTATTGCATTTTTTTTCCTTCTTAGACATGCTTTTCATATCCTTTAACTATTGTTTTATTTATTGATGTCATCTTGATTTTAATGCTTGGCATTTTCTTTAGTTCCTCTTTTCCAAGCCCATAAAGGGTTTTCCAGAGAAACAGGATCACAGGATGTGTGTCTCCATACATGTATGAACCTATAATGTGCATTTTACATACACAGTTATAACCCGTCCCATCGACTCGCTGCATAAGGAACCAGATGGCACATGTAATCAATTACATCACATACGCTTGTGGATTTAGAAGGATTTTAAGGAATTGTCTTTCACTGACTGCAGAGGTGGCAAGTTTAGTGTGCAGGGCAGCTGGCAGGCTGCAGGCACAGGACAAGGTCGAGTTGCAGTTGAAGTCCCAAGGCCACTTGCTGATGGATTTCCCTCTTCCCCACCCCCCATGACGGTGATCTGCTACCTTGAAGTCAGCTGATTTCAGTGTTCACCTCATCTACAGCGTACTCTCAAAGAAACAACTACAATGTCTGACCAGATATCTGGCTACTGTGGCCCAGCCCAGTTACACCTGGCAACCCAACTTCCACCATGTCTCTTGAACCCACTTTCTGTTGTTCCCTGTCACATATCCTTTAAAGGGAACATTTTCCTGTATATAGGGTTCTAGGGTTCTTTTTTGTGTACCACTTGACCCGTGCCTCATTCTCCCAAGAAAAAGTGCCATCTGGTTTCTCTTCCCTTGTCTGTGGGTTGACTGAGTGACTTCCTTTCTAATGATGAGTGGTAGGAGTGATGCTGTGTGACCTCCCAGTCAGATTAGAAAGGCAATACAGTGCCCACCTGGCTTTCCATCTTGGAACACTGCCCTTGGGTCCCAACCACCATGCTGGGAAGAAGTCCGGGCTCCTTGGAGAGGTGCATGTGGGATTCTAGTGGACAGTCCAGTCCCGTCAGAAATGTTAGTGAACGAGATTCCAGATGATACCAGCCTCCAGCCTTTGAGCACCCAGGTGACATGGAAGGGAGTGGAGACAAGTTATCCAAACAGGTTCACAAGCCGATGAAGGCGTGCCTTGGCGGAGTGAGCTGTCATGCAGCAGTGGACCACGACACACACAGAGCCTCCTTCTCTGTGCTATTCTAGATGGAATGCCCTTCACCACCAGTCCACATGCCTAAGTCTCACCAACACACAGCGGCCAGTTGATGTCACCTCTAGCATTAAGCTGTCCTCAGTATTTACTCCAAACTCTGGCATTTCAGAATGTCTTAATGAGTCTCTTTCACTATCCCCATCACGTTACAGATGTCAGCTCTGTCTTTCAAGTCAGTGGCTTTGAATTCTTTTTTTTTGTTGTTTTTTAGAGGGATTCACAATATGACATTTGGACGACGGATAGCTACTACAATTATAGTTACAGGACCTTGAACCCCAAGAAACTTAATCCAGAGCGGTTTGAAGCCCCTGTGTTAGATTGTAGGATTTGAAGTAAGTTTGTGTGAGGTTTCTTTCTATCACAACATTCTGAGCATACAGTTAACGAGTCTTGACAAATGTGTGTATTCAGGGTGCAGGTGTCTGTCTCACCTGTACAAGAGGGTATCTTCTTCGTGCAGAAGTCCCCACGCACCCGTCCCCTGGCACCTGCTGCTCGGTTTTCTGACATTCTAGATTAGACATTCGTTTCCTAGAGCTTCATAGAAATGAGGGAAACAATGGTCTCCCCTGTGGTCTGGCTTCTGTCCCTCCAGGTAATTCGTAGAGGTTTTGGGGTGCATTCATATTGTGCTAATCCAGTAGCTTGGTGCTTTTTGTTTGCAAGTATGACATTATCAGAGAGAGTTATTCACACCCCTGGAAGACTTTGGGTCAGCTCCACTTTTGGGGTATTTTGAATAAAGCTGTGGACCAGTCTTTTTAATTTGTTGTTATTATTTTTGGCAGTACTGGGGTTTGAACTCAGGGCCTCGCACTTGCTAGGCAGGCGCTGTACCACTTGAACCACTCTGCCAACTTTTTTTTTTTTGTGTGTGTGTTTTGGGTATTTTTAAGATAGGGTCTTGCAAACTGTTTACCTCAGGCTGGCTTCAAACAGTGATCCTCCTGATCTCTGCCTCCTGAGTAGCGAGGATTATAGGCATGAACCCCCATGCCTGTCTTGTCACAAGTCTTTCTGTCTGCAAATATTCTTATTTCTCTTGGGTAAATATCACACAGAAAATTGAGATTGCATGTTTTTGAGGACATAATCCACGTTCCATTATCTTTGGTGACCTGGGAGCCTAGGGCCTTGAGCCCAAGTTTAATACAACTTCTTGGTGATAGAAGGGATGGAGATTCCCTGGACCTAGTCTAGGTACCAGGTGCGCTCTCTAGAGGAGTTTTTATGTATTGGTGTACAGTGTCTGTCCTTCGGGATTGGTCCCTGGATTCCTGGGGATACCAAAATCCAGGGATGCTCAGGTTCTGTATACAA